CGAGCGACGTGCTGGGGGCCCTGCCAAGCTACCCTCGCCGCAGGGCTGCGCAGCCCGGCACAGCCGGCCGCTCACCGACACCCCCAGTGCCCTCCATTCCACGTCACTCCATTGGAAGGGGTTTGGCCCAATACAAGAGCTGGCTGTTGCCCATCTCGCCACGAGGGGATAATGCTGCAGGAGCTGTAGAAAGGCTTCCACAGCTCCAGCACTCTGGCTCAGGCTGCCCTCTGCAGACCTTGGAGGCAGGGAGAGCAGCTCCCAGCAGGTTCTCCCTCCCATACAGGTAACGCTGGGCTCAGTAGGAGCTCTGGGACAAGACAGGACAAGAGGAAAACAGCCTCAAGTTGCAGCAGGGGAGGTTTAGATTGGATATTAGGAATGGTTTCTTCACACAAAGGGCTGTCAGGCATTGGAACGGGCTGCCCAGGGAGGTAGTCCCCATCCCTGGAGGGATTTAGAAGACGTCTGGATGAGGTGCTCAGGGACATGGTTTAGGAGTGATAACAGGTGTTAGGTTAATGGTTGGAAGACTTGATGATCTTAGGTATTTTCCAATGAAAAATATACTATGATTCCCTATGATTCTATGTATTATCCCTGCTCTACAGGGAGGAAACTGAGGGATAGAGGCACTAAATGGAGACTGGGCCCACGACAGCCCGGGAAGAGAGCTCAGGCATTCTCTGAAGACACAGCACACACAGGATTCCCTGCAATCTGTCCTTCCCTCTCACCAGCTGCACAACTCTGACGCTGGAGAGTGAACAGCATCACCTCAGATGGGGACTGACATCCAGAGGCAACGTGTGGCAGGCCAGCGGGACTCCTGACTAGCACCTCCTGCCCGCAGCACTGTCTGCTCTGCCGTTACCTGCTCTGCGATTGCAGCCCGAGCCTGAAGCCGCCCTGACAGCACACCCGGGCACAACTGTCCTGTAGAAGCTGCGCAGTCTAGCGATGCTCAAAGTCTCGCTGCAGCTCAGGGAGAAAGAGGCTGTGAAAGCACCTTGGAGACTCCTGGCCACCAGCCCGCTGCTCAGACTGTTCTTACTTTGACATACCAGAAAGATACTGGGGAAAAAAAACAATGAAGTAGGAGCTCACTGCCCTCTCACAGAATGTTTTGGGGTGAGAATGCTTGGAAGGGTTCAGGCAGTGCCTCTGGAGTGCCAGCTTAAAGCTGCAGTCCCCACCGGCGCCGTGCTGCACACGAGGTTACTGCGTGCAGCGCTCGGCCTCGCCGCAGCATCACGCGTGCGGGAGGTGCTGCGTTTTGTCATGGCCTAACACACGCTGAACCACTCAAAGACTCAAACCAGCTCTTGGAGTAGTTTTCTTGCCTACCCTCAGGCCTGAATCGTACACGGTACCTTGAGCACATCTTCCACGCAGCTGCCGAGCTCCGCCTCTGTCACCAGCACGGTCCCTGCTGATAAATCTTCCACTGCCACCTCTGAAAACAAAGGGCAGGAATATCAGCACCCCCGCACGCTGAAGAGTCTCTAGTGGAACAGCAACCCTGCGATGCCCCGCACCAGAGAGCGCTTGGCTAGCTCTCTCGCCTTCCCTCCCCTCCGTCAAGGCAGCACGGGAAGCAGCAAGCCCTCGTGAGCGGCGCTAAATGTCACTGCAGTGTTGTAAACTCCGCACGGTTACAAGCAAATCAAACCAGACCACAACCTCTTGATGGATTATTCCCCAGAGAGCTGCTCGGTCAGCGTGGGGGAACCAACGGCTTCCATCCAGAAGCCCAAAACGAGACTGTCAGACTGGGATAGTTCTCCAAAAAGCAAATGGCAGAAGCCCTCACTACTTGGCTCGTACCCTGCAGCGATCGGACTCGAGCGCTAGTAAACCCGGTGCGCACAGATGTGTCCACAACTGACAGAGCCAGGCCCACGGCTCCCTGGGAAAGTTTTCACGGAAAGACAAAGGTCAGTGAGAAGAGAAACCAGACCCTGGGCCGGCCTGGGGCTCGGCAGAGTCCAGCGGGTACCTGCGGGCTGGGAGCAGCGCCGGAGCGGGGCCAAGAGGGGCCGGAGCAGATGCTCCTCTGCCAGCTGAGGGTGCTCTTTCGCCATGGTGAGCAGCGTCGTGGTGGCCACTCGCTGGAACTGGCGCGCCGTCACTTTGTCCTGGATGCGCAGCAAGTCCAGAATCTGGAAGGAAAGAAAGCCCACCATAAAGGAACCAGGATTAGCAGCCCCTCTGAAGGGGGGCAGGCCGACGCCGTGCAGCCAACAGCAGAGATCGAGGAGCCTCCCGTGTGCCGCTTTGCTGGATATTTAGCACGACATTCCACACATGGAAGAGCTGGTCTCCTTCCCGCGCACATGTCAACGCAGGATGCATTTCTGGGCTCGAACCAAGAGCCCGCACCACTCCCATAGCCAAGAGCTCGGCAGCGCAGCTCCTCGCAGAGCAGTGCCAAACCGATCAGGCAACATTATCCAGCACTTCAATCAAATAGGGAAAATCCATGAGTAGATCGGAAACACATCCCGCTGACGGAGCAGCAGAAAAACCTCCCCACGTTGTCCTGGCTCCAGCCAGGCCGCGCTCAAGCAGAAGCGACACCACCAATGGTCTCCAAACTGGGAGCCGGCTGCGCATTCCCAGCCAGAGCCGGTGTGCTGCGGGGACGGGAAGAGAGGGACCTACCTGCGGGCACACCAGCCTGTAGTAGTCCTCGAGGGACAAGCACTGCTGCGGGCAGGAAGCCAGGATCTTTGCAACCGTGTCACATTTTCTCCAGTCCACAGCTGCTGCTTCAGCACCGGCACCACCTGCTACGCCAGCGGAAAGCCAGGATCAGCTCAGGCCGACATTTTCAGCTGAAGCCAGATGTTTCTGGCCAAAAATTGGATTTCTAGCTTTTAATCCTCTCTTTAAACCAAGCATCTTTCAGCAGGCACCTGAACTTAATGACAGCAGGGGAAAAATTACTCTCCAAGACCTCTGATAACGGAAAACACTTCTACAAGTAGGTGTATGAGCCAAAAGGTGGCGGGAGGTCATGCCAGGGTGGTGTCATCAGGCTGGTGTTGGCCATGAGAGGAACACTATTTTCGTGTCTTTACAAAAGAAGCCTGTGCCTACCCAGGCTCAGGACAAGAAACAAAAGAAACCTGTGTGAACTCAGACTTAAGATAAGAAGGAATATCGAAACTACGTGATCCCTTGAATGTGTAAATTACTTGAACATCCTATGCCCCGAATATGTTAAATGTATTAACTACCTGAATATCTGGAAACCTAAAGAATGTTTTTGTCTTGAAAAAGTCTGTACACTCAGAGTACCTCAGCCAGTGGGGAAATGAGGAGGGTCTCTTGCGGCCAGGAAAAGTAGGATAAAAGAGGGCTGCGTCCCTCTGTAGGTTGAGAGACCCCACAGGAATATGTCCTGTGGACTCTCCCTTTATTTGAATAAAGTTATATATATTATTTCGTTTACAGGACTCCTCTGTCTCCTTTGTGAGCACTGACTCCTGGCAGCGTGATTTTTCGTTACAGCCAGAAGAAACTTTTGCACTAAAAACTGTGGGATTCAGCTTTTAGGGAGCAGGAGTTTCCCTCCCTGGCAGGAAACAGAAAGCAGGGAGCAAGGCTGACGAGCCACAGGGTGGGATGGATCCCACAGCCCAGCGCTAAGCACGGCTCCCACCGAGCCAGCACCAGCGCAGCTCCCGGGAACGAACCGTGCTGCGTACGCACGCAAGGCGTGACCCCACGGAGGCATAAACGGCCTAAATTAATTCAGAGGCTTTCAGTCCGGACCTCAAACAGGACGGTGTACCCTGAACTAAAGGCAGTTGGAAGGCAAACCCAGTCTGGGAGATCAGCAGAGGCAAAATCCACACGAGTGTTACAGCCAGCTCGGCCTGACAAAAGCTGTTCCCCACTTCAGTGCTCTGACAGCACCATCCTTCCTGGGCCCCTCAAGGGATGAAATGTCTCAGACACATCATCACGGTCTCTTTTAATTTGCAATCCCGGATGCCAAGAGCAGCGTCAGAGCACCCTACTCACCGCCTGTCCCCTCCATGATGCCCCGAACCACAGCCTGAACCCCGTTGGGTCTCATTAGCCTCTCGGAGAGCAGCTGACCGCAGAGGCGCCGCAGCCACGCCGGAGCCCGCACGAGGGCCGGCTTTGTTCCTTCCCCAGGAGAGAGAGGACTCTGAAAGGAAACAAAGGAGCAGGCTAAGGAGCGTATTTGCACACTCTTGTGCAAACCCTCACTAACAAGCAAACAGCCTCCCACCCTGCTCTGCAGCACTTGAGACAGGAGAGGGAAACATTTTAAATAAATCACGTCTTCACCCAGTGCTACAGAGCAAATTAGGGCCTTAATGAGAGAGGCCAGCCTTCCCAGGAGCATCCCCCTGCACAGAGCTTCCCCCTTTAATTAAACCTTCTCGGGGTCAGGCAGCAGCTCTGAAACCTCGTTACCGAAAGGGCGCACAGGGGGTTTGGGGGACAAGCTGGGTCCGATGTAGGTAAAGGGTCCGCAGCGTGACCCCTGCCAGGACCCAGCACAGCGCGCAGGGCTGCAGGGGTGGCACTGTGAGCCGACAGACTCCCCGGATAAGCAAACCGATCCCGCCCGGACAGCGGTCCGGAGGCTGCGAGCCCACAAAGCGAGTGGTTTGAACGGAGGTGCTTGCTCGGAGGCCTGAAGGAGCGGCACCCCAGGCGGTATGCGCCCTGAGCGCCCCTCGACGGGGACAGCCACGCCGCCCCTAGGTACCTGCTTGGGCCGGCCCTGCAGAAGGAGCAGCTCCTGCACTGCCAGCGGCTGGTAGACGCGGTCCAGGATGTGCCGCAGGGTCTGCCGGCACTGCGCTCGCTCTGCTTCCGAAACACCCTGGAAAAAACAAACCCCGGGGTGGTGAGGGCAGCCTGGCCACAGGCGCT